TTTTTTTTCATTTTCATCACATGTCTCAGAAAGCAGGACCTACCTAGTTAGTGCAAAGCTGATTGGTAATAATGATAGTAAGTGACTCTTTTCAGGGGCTTTTATGTGTCAGGAGTAGTAGGAAATATTTATATTTCATTGATCCTCCCATCCCCAAGAAGGGGGAGATATCACTCCACTGTGAAGATTTAGAATCTGCCACCTAAATTCTAAGCAAAGAAAGTCATGGAACTGATAAGCGATACGATGACATGCTAACCCAGTTCTACCTGACTCAATAACTAATAACTAAGCTTATGAAAATAATACTAGTTGATAGCATAGATTGAGCCGTGACTCTGTGTAAGATCCTGGTTTAAAGGCTTTAATTTTATGAATCTAATAAATATCATCACAAAAACCTTAAGATGAAGATGAGTTATAATTTCACAGATGAGTAAATTGAGGCTCAGGAGACTGAGTGTTTAGTCAAAGGTTAAACATCATGTATAGATCAGAATCAAGATAATAACATGGTTATCTAGTTTCTGGATTGTTAACCACATTTTCTTTAAGCTCTGAAAGATTGTGTCATTTGATACCCCTCATTATGGCTTATATCTAGATGTCCCCCCAAAGCCTCATGTGCTTATAGGTAGGGCCTTGGGGAGGTGACTGAATCACGGGTGTGTGAAACTGGATTAGTCCACTGATTGGTTTAGAATAATTTTGGGTGTGGATGATGATTTACAGAAGAGGGAAACCCCATTCTGAGTGTGGGTGGCACCAACCAATGGGTTTATAATCTAGATGGAGCAAAATGGGAAGGAAGAGAGAAGGCTCGCTCCTTCCTGCCCACCCACCCTGCCATGGACTGTTTCCCCTCTGCCACACCACCCCACCTTGGAGCCAGCTGACTATGGACTGAAACCTCTACAAACTGTGAGCTAAAATAAAACTTTCCTCCTTTCACTTGTGGGTGTTTGGTATTTGTCCTAGCAATGAGAAAGTAACTCAAATAGATTCGGTACCAGAGAAGTAGGGTCATTGCTGTGTACCTGACCATGTGGTTCAGAAGCCTGTTGGAGGAGTTTGGAATGGTTTGGAGATGTTGGCTGGAGAAACAGCCCTAGAATGCTGTGAGCCAAGCTTGATGAGAGATTCTGGTCAGCACTCAGAAGACCAGAATGCTGAGATGTAGTGAAGCCAGGAAAGGCCAGGCTCAGTAGTTTTCTATTGGGAAGAACTGCACTGGCAATTGGACTCTGACTATGTGTATTATGCTCTGGCAGAAAATTTGTCTGCATTTTGCTCGTGTCCTGAGGTTTTTCAGGAGACAGAGATCACTGTGTAGTACTAATTAACCTGATGAAAGAAATTTCCTGGTAGCCTCAAGTTGAGGCAGTGGCATGGCTACTGTTGGGGACTTTTAGTGAGATCTATGTCAAGAATCAAGAGTAATTACTGGCTTATTCCTGGGTGTGGATGGCACCAACTAATAGGTTTATGGACTAGATGGAATATAAGGGGAAACAAGGAAGACAGACTTATTTCTTTCTGTCCACCCCGCCATGGACTGTTTCTCCTCTTCCACACCACCCTGCCTTGGAGCCAGCCCACTATGGATTAAACCTGTACAAACTGTGAGCTAAAATAAACTTTTCCTCCTTTCACTTGTGGGTGTCGGGTGTTTCATACTAGCTACGGGGAGGTAACTAAGATAGGGTCTCTTAGGCCAGGCCTTGTCCAGGTCCTACAGGGTCTCTCTCAGGGACCTGTTCATAGGGAGAAGTCTGGAGGTGAGACTGAGACTTATCTCCCTCAGCTGACCCCAGGGAGTTAATCTCTTCTCTCTGCATTATGGGTCCAGGGGGTAAAAAGTTCTGATTTATTGAAGTGTGTCTTCAATGTGCATGTCCTTCCTGAAAGGCTCAACCCCACGTGGGGACATAATACATAATTTGAGTGAGGCACAGTCCAGGTCTGACAATTCTCTCTCTGTGTGTGTAGTGGAATTAACTCTATCCTGCATCCAGAGGTTGTCAAGAATCACTCATGGCATATGTGGAACTGTCCAGATGCTTCTTCACACTAAAGATTTATGTTTAAGGTTGGCAAAGTATAGTATCCTGCGTTCTCCAGGGCAGTGGTGGTGAACCATGCCTACCTCAGCAGGTTATTTGTATCATTGAAGCTCTGACAGGTTTGCTGTCTCTGCTCCTAGGTGACCTCCTGGTGCAGCAGGGATCCACTGGGGTATATTGTCTCTTGATGGCTGTGTGCAGACCTGGAGGTGGTTACTTGAGTGACGGTTGCATATTTACAATTTGATCACTGTTGACTGCCACTTCCCCTTTGTACCAGAAATAGCCTTGAAGACTCCCTGGCAGATGGCGGGCAAATGGAAAATCCCACCCTTCTGCAGCATGGAAGGGCACTGATTCACTGGTGATTTGGGCAGTGGTGGGTGGGTTCCAGAAGGTTAAAAGTGAGGTTAGAATGGAGGGGGGAGAAGTACATCACTATTGAGACCTTCCTATTGGATGGAAAGATGGAACCCTGGGCCCCCAACAGATAGATGTCTTTATCCCTTACTGGGGTCTGCATATTTGTGTGTGTCTCCTACTGAGTCAAAGTCAGCAGTATGACTTCCTCTCCTTCGGCAGCCCTCAAGTATCATTTCTTCCATTTGACATACTCTACCCCAGGTGTCTGCATGGCTCACCCCTTCCATCCAGGGCATCCACCTCTAGAGCTCCTGGGTCTTCATTTT